AGCAGCCTCGCTAGCACCTAGAGCAGCAGCCTCACCAGTACCTAGAGCAGTAGTCTCAATGCCCGGGTCGGGCAGGAAACACCGGTAATAGTCCCCCTCATCACTAATAGTCACAGCATACATGGCAGCAAGAATAGCATCAAAGTCAAGATCAAAGATAGCTACGCCCGCCCTAGACAGCTCACCCCAGCGGGGGATCTCCGTGGCCTCCGGAAACTGGTGACGCCAAGCGTCCGTCAGGCGGCCAAAGCAGCGCTGGGTGGGGTGCGCACCCCCACACTGCTCACCCGTGCGGTCGCCGGTGCGGAGGGCGTAGGTGCACGGACCAGTACCCCCACCCCGCTGGCGTGCAGCGTACCACTCACGGAGCTGCTGAGGGGGGGGGATGTCACGAGTGCGCTGCTGCTGCTGCTGGCGCTGACCACCACCGGAGCCGACCCTCTGCGCAGCGCCACCCCGACCAGCTCCACCTCCTCCGCCACCGCCTCCTCCACCGCCGCCACCCCCGCCACCTCCGCTCCCACCGCCACCGCCGCCGCCTCCGCCTCCACTGCTGCCACCAACACCTCCACCCCCGCCACCACCCCCACCGCCACCCCCACCCCCTCCGCCGCCTCCACCGCCGCCTCCACCGGCCCCGCTAGCTCCTCCAGTGCCCCTGCCCCCCTTACCTTTGCCAGGGCGGCGTCTCCCGCTAGGGGTAGACGCCGCACCGACCGACTCAAGCCCAACGAGGTCGGCCGCAGCAGAAGAGGCAAAAGAGGGCAAAAGGGGGGAGGGGGAACACCCCGCAAAGATGGGGGTGCGCGGGTCACCACGAGAGGCTCCTACAGCAACTATGCTCTTCTCCGCTGCTAAGAGGGCCTTCTCGAGGAGGTCAACAGTGAGAGTGGTGGGACAGACTGAGAGGAAGTGGTCCCTGACTACGCGAAGGGAGTCAGGGAGGCGGGTGACTATGTAGTAGAGAGTGATGTACATGGGGGGGGGGTTCTTGGCGCAGAATTCAGCAGGAAGCGCAGCGCGGTAGCGAGTGTCACTAGTGCGGAGGTGCGTAATGAGGTCAGCGACTGTGGGAAAGGCAGCAAGGTCAGGAAAGAGGTACGGTAGCATGAGGCGGCTCAGTGCAGCAGTGGCAGGGGAGGAGTAGCGTGCAACTACAGCGGCGTACAAGGTCTGAGCACTCTTGTACTGGCTAAAGTGCGCACGCTCAGAGGTAGGCAGGTGGCGACACACAGCAAGACGTGCAGCAGCATCGCGCGTGGCCCACTATGAGCGAACAGTGGCGTCAGCATCAGCAGCAGGGGCAGGAGAGGCACCAGAGGTGAGGTCAAAGAGAGAGAGACCGTCTGCCCTATCGCACTGTAAGAAAAGCTGCAGGTCATCTATCCAGACGTCAAAGTCAATGGCCCGACCCTCAGCGTCAAAAGCGAGGACACTAGGGGTAGCCATGACAGCAGTAGACTAGCAGCGCAAACAGTAGGGTGAGGGCAGTGCTGTGAAAGAGGCGCTGCTCTTACCGGACAGGGTGGCTCGGGCGGCTCGGCTGCAGGGCGACTCGGTGGCTCGGCAGCTGGGCGGCTCGGCGGCTCGGCTGCTGGGCGGCTCGGCGGCTCGGCTGCTGGGCGGCTCGGCGGCTCGGTTGCTGGGCGGCTCGGCGGCTCGGCTCCTCGGCTGCTGGGCGGCTCGGCTGCTGGGCGGCTCGGCGGCTGGGCGGCTCGGCTGCTGGGCGGCTCGGGTGCTGGGCGGCTCGGCTGCTGGGCGGTCCGGCGGGGCCGCTGAGAGGAGGCGGCGGGGCCGCTGAGAGGAGGCGGCGGGGCCGCTGAGAGGAGGCGGCGGGGCCGCTGGGAGGAGGCGGCGGGGCCGCAAAGGTAGGTGGCGGGGCCGCAGGTAAGGTGGCGGTGCCGCTGGTAGGTGGCGGGGCCGCAGGTAGGTGGCGGGGCCGCAGGTAGGTGGCGGGGCCGCAGGTAGGCGCTGGGGCCGCACAGGTAGGTGGCGGGGCCGCGGGTAGGTGGCGGGGCCGCAGGAAGGTGGCGGGGCCGCAGGTAGGTGGCGGGGCCCCAGGTAGGTGGCGGGGCCAGCAGGTAGGTGCCGGGGCCGCAGGTAGGTGGCGGGGCCGCTGGTAAGTGGCGGGGCCGCAGGTAAGGGCGGCGTCAGGGCCGCAGGGCGGCGCAAGGGCCGCTGGGTAGGCGACGAGGCCGCAGGGCGGCGGATCGGGGCCGGGAAAGGGCGGCGCGATGGCCGCGGGGTAGGGGACGAGGTCGCAGGGCGGAGGGTCGTGTCCAGGAAGGGCGGCGCGAGGGCCGCAAGGCAGGCAACGGGGCCGCTAGGGCGGCGCGACGGGGCGAGGAAAGGGGGAGCGCGACTCGGGCTAGGGCTGAGCGCGCTCCGGGCAGGAAAAAAAAATGTCGAATTGGTGGGCCCTAGTAACAGTTCCCACGATGGAACCTGCTCGATACCATGAGAGAATTGAAACGAGAATGAATGAACTATGAAACAGTTGGGTACAAGTACTAACCCTAATTGGGTTGTACCCCATATGGGCTACCCCACTAAAGCCTACACAAAAGCATAAGCTATAATGTTCTGACAAGGTGTCCAGTTGGTGAAGTTGACGATGGCGTCGCTGTCGGCGGTGCCAAGGTCAGGAACGAAATCAAGAACGAAGACGTTGTTCTTGAGGAGCGCCTTGCCGATGTAAAGTCCTCCTCTCCCGTGATACAGCTTGAATTCTTGGGTGGTGCTGTCTGCTTTGAGGTGAATCCCCTTCGCCATTAGCTGACTGACGCTCAGTAAGTTGTAGCCGAGTCCCTCCGCGATTAGTACTTTTGACATTTGCAGTATAACGTTTGTTTCCCTTGACTGAAGTTGAACTACGCCTTGTCGTCGTGTTCGCAGGTTCTGATTGTTGGTGACTGTAATGACAACTTCGCGTTGAAGTTGGTGTTCTCGTTGAGCGAAGCGTCCCAAGGAGCACATGTGCTGTCCGCAGCAACTGTCCAAGAACCATGTGTCCCTTCCGGATGGTTCGCTTTGGGCGATGGCGGCGTATGTCGGGTTCGGCTGAAGTGACTCGCGGCGGGGTGTGGTTTCGTCGAGTTGTTCTTCCGGTGAGTAGTGTGGTGGTGACTCGGTGATGCAGGAGTCTGTCAGCTTTGCCATGCAGCTGACGATGTTACTTGCTCTTTGTGCAGGTTGTCCTGTTGAGGTCGTTGAAGCTTGAATCTGAGTCGTGGGATTTACTTGCGTTGAGGCGACTTGGCTGCTTGAAGGTCGAAGTTGCCGCTGTGGGGTTGTTGACTGTTGACGATTCGGGCAGTGTGTACGCGGGTGTCCTGAAGTTTTGCAGATGTGGCAGAACGGAGGTACTGGCTTCGGTTGTTGCTGCCGGTTGTTGTTGTTGTTGTTGTAGCGTCGCTGAGTGTGGAACGCGAATTCCGGTGCTGATGTCTTCTTTTTGTGTCGTTCTTCTTGCAGGTCCATGTCTTGTTGCTCGGCGTGGATTTCGGCACAGAGCGCTGCTTCGGAGATTCTTCCGTGAGCTCGGAGGATAGCCTTTGTGGCGCGCCATTGAAGATTGAGGCCGCCGATGATGACTGTCACGAAGGCGTCTTCAGAGTTCACCCCTGCAAAGATCCTAAGGGCCTTTTTCAGCCCTACATGGTATGAGAGCTATCAGGGGGAATTCAACTTCTATACCAACAGTATCAATCAGCATGGCTACACAAAAAGAAAGGAGCAACTCCAACGGCTCCCAGGGAACTACTCCTACTCCACCTCCTGCCTCTGGCCTACAGACAGAGGAGGGCACGGTAGCAAGACCCAGAGGAACATCTACCGAGACTCCCGCGAATCAACCTGCAGACTTCGACCAGAGCATGATGGAGAAGCTTTTCTCCTTCATGTCCTTCTACGAGCAACACCAGCAATCAGCACCTGCGCAGTCACACAACAGCAACAACAACGGAGCAACACCCATGAGTCTCGACGGCTCATCATATGCACGAGGAAATCAACAACAGCAGCCTACCTTTGCTCCGTACGAGCGCGGGTCCATCAGCTTCATGCCACACCCACAGCCCTCACCTGGACAAGAAAAACCACTGGACGCATTGCAAGTTCAGTCGCAGTTCGCTCACGTTCTGAAGATGCAGACGTCAAGACCCTTCGATGGAAAGGACTTCTTCACCTGGTCGTTCAAGTTCGAGCTGATGATGGAAGGCGCGCAGATACTCGGGTTCTTCGACGGGTCTCTGCCATACCCAACAAACGGCACACAGTACGAGAAGAAGCAGTACACCTATCAGTCAATGATGGCGTATACGATCCTACTGAGGAACATCACCCCGACTCAACAGCAGAACATAAGGACTTACCGAGGTTACGGCAACTCTGCGGAGCTCGAGAACAACCACCTGAAGAGCCTGTATCAAGCAACAGACAGCGTAAGTCAAAGTCGGTTAATGGCGCAACTGACAACGGTTGAAATGAAACCAGGGGAGAAAGGAATGGCGTATATCAGTCGATGTCGCGAGTTGCGTGACAAGCTTCTGTACGTCTGCCCATGATCCGCCTTCAAAGTACTGGCGCTTAGCCAAGTGCCAGCGGTTTCGTAGGTGTAGCTGGGGAAAGGGGGAGGTGGGGGAGGAGGGTGCTGGGCTTAGTAGATTTTATACTGGGCTTTGAGTTTAAAGCAGGCTTCGGCGGGTATGGTCTTGCAAATCTCGTTAGTGGGATCTGGATCTGGAGCGGACGGTGTGAGTGTGCGATTGGTCCACGTGGTGCTGCTGGTGGCCACGGTGAGTGCCACGTCAGCGCCTTTCATGATGGCAACGCGGGTGGGCTTGTCAGGGTTGGTGTGAGTCACGGTGATGCTGTAAAGAATGCTGTAGTCGTTACTTGTGGCGTTGCTGTGGGGGGGAGGGTGGCAAGAAGGGAGGGATAGGGAGGGATAGGGAGGGATAGGGAGGGATGGGAGGTGGGCTCTTCAGAGTTGGTTAGAGTCACAGCGTCGCTGTAAAGAATGTCGTCGTTGCGTTGTTGGTCGTGGTGTTGCTGAGGGGGAGGGTGGCAAGGGAGGGGCGAGGAGGGGCAAGGAGGACGAGGAGGGGCAAGGAGAGGCAAGGAGGGGCGAGGAGGGGCAAGGAGGACGAGGAGGGGCAAGGAGAGGCAAGGAGGGGCGAGGAGGGACAAGGAGGGACAAGGAGGGACAGACATTGGGCCGAGGATGGGCAGGTGCGTATGGAGGGGCCACAATTCGCAGTATGAGACTGGAAGAAAGTGAGGGTAGAATGGGGAGCGGCGGGGGAGGGTGAGAGAATGAGGGGAGAGGGCAGAGGAGAATAGAGATACTGAGGGGAGAAATAGGGGAAGGAGAGAGACTGAGGGAAGGAGGGAGGGGGAGGTGAGGAACTGAGGTTAGAAAGTAGGAGTGTGTAGAGTGGGGGGAGAAGAAAGGGGGAACAAGGGAGCGAGGGGAGAAGAGAGGGGAGGATAGAGTGAGGGGAGGAGGGCGAGGGAGCAAGGGGAGAAACGATGGGAGGGAGAAAGAGCGAGGGGTCAAGCGAGAGAAGAAGATTGAGGAGGAGAGAGAAGCGAATGGAGGAGAGGCTTACTGGAAGACAGCAAGAGAAAGGGAGCCTGAGGAGTTGGTGGCAGCAGCGAGGCCAGCATTAGAGCCGTTCAGATGCGCCTCCACCACCCCTGAAGGAACGTAAGGGTGATGGCCCAGGGGAAGGCGAGAGTGGGGAGTAGAAGAGAGAATGGAAGGGGCGGATGGAATGGTGGGGGGGAGTTTGTGAGAGAGTGGAAGGATGGTGGTGAAAATGGGGCGAGAGAATGGAAGAGGCAGGAGCGAGGGGGAGGGCAGGGGCTGGAGTGAAGGTTCAGACAGGATTATACGAGAGTTGTGGTGAGAGAATACATGAAATGAGAACGAAATGCATGCGGGATGAGAGTCCACGCAAGAGTTTGTGCTGCGGAGAATTCGTGAGGCAGTAGCGAAACGGGTTTGTTTGTTGAGCAACTGAGAAATGCAGGTGCGCAACAGGCTTATCACGAGGATGCTCAATAGGAAAGTGTGAGTGAGAGAATGGCTAATCTACAGAAGTTTGAGAAGTGTAGTGTAGGTGAACAAAATGCTTGATTGGGAATTCTCAAAATGTGAGTGTAGGTGAGCGAAAGGGAACATACCAACCAATGTCTCTGTCGTCTTGTTTCCTCCATCCGCCACTCCGTTATTGTTATTAGGACCAGCGTCGGGCAGCTTCACTATGATCTGCCCCCTCGCAGCGCGCTTCGAGAAAGCCCGCGTCGTGATTCCTTCGTAGTAGGAACTGTTTGGAGCCAACACGATCGCATCGATCACGCTCCGAACCGTCTGCCCGTTTGACGCGCTCAGCGTATTCGTTTTAAGCCACGTCCCGTTGATCGTATATGAATAGAACGGAGCTTTCGCAGGAGTGATATTTTGCCACGTGGCATTGGCCCCGACAACATCGAGAACCTTGGAGCCCCCTTTCCCCGCCAAGCCTTGCCCAATGTAGGCGGAGGTCGGCGCGCCCAGATTTTTGGAGGAGACGAGAGAATGGTAGAAGACGTTGTAGTCGCCGTCTAGCCTGACGGATTCAGTCAAAAATGGCGCAAGCAAGCGAGCGAGCGGAAGAAGGGAGGATTCGTAAGGGATATGGAAGAAATGGCTGAGGGATATGGAAGGAGTGCTGAGGGATAAAGAAGGAGTGCTGAGGGATATGGAAGGGTTAGCGAGGAATATGAAAGCATTGCGCATGGATACGGAAGAAGTGCGCATGGAAATGGAAGGAGTGCGCATGGATACGGAAGGAGTGCGCATGGAAATGGACGGAGTGTGCGTGGATAATGGAAGCGTTGCCAAGCCAGCTTACTCGTAGACGGCCTGGCAGATTCGGCCGTTGGCTGAAAGGTCGCCCTTGGACCCAACCGTTTCGGCTCCCATCAGCGGCGCGGCGAGAATCCCTGCGCGGAGAGAAAGGGAGAGGAGCGGCGGAGTGACGCGGGGGGAAGGGGAGAGGAGAGCGGGGAGAGGGGAGAGCGGCATAGTAAGCTATACTAGTAACAAAGGGGGGAGGAGGTGAATAAAATCGAGTGGCACGTCACAGCAAGCAGCGATCGCCGAAAGCCTCTCACCAATCAGATCGCCGAGAACCGCTGCCTGTTTCGGCTGGGGTAAGACGCACGAGACTTTGACCAGTTTGGGATTCGCGCCCCCGTCCGGCGTCGATCGAATAGGCACTAGCTGGAACTGCCCCCTCGCTGCTCCTGCCTTGAAAGCTGCCGTCGCGAATTGCCCATAGTAAGTGTCCGCGTACCGCATCATCGCCGCAATCAGATTCGTCACAGGCTTCCCGTCTGACACGTTCAGTGTACTCGTTTTAAGCCACGTCCCCTTAATGTTAAGGGTATAGTAGGCGGGCGTTGTTTGAAATCCCACGCCCTTCAGCGACGGAGTGACGTCCGTCCACGTGGCACCGGCCCCGACAATCTCGAGAAGGGTTTGTCCCGCCTTTCCCGCCGGGCCTCGCGCGATCAAGGCGGAGGTCAGCGCGCCCGGTTTGGAGGTAGAGGCAGTGAGATTGTAGAAGAGGTTGAAGTCGTTATCCAACCTGACGGATTCAGTCAGTCATGGTTCGCACAGGCGGGCAGAAAGAAGGGAGGAATGATAGGTCAGCCCATCGCGACTCGTTAGCTTGAACTTCATCGTCCGGGGAGAAAAATTGACGCCGGTTGATAACACGCAACGAAGCTCAATGGCTTATTGGCCGCAGCGGCTTACATGTAGACGGCCAGGCAGATCTGGCCGGTGGCCTGGGCGTCGCCCGTCGACCCAACCATCTCGGGTCCGGTCAGCCACGCGCCGAGAAACACTGTGCGCGGAGAAAAGGCGCGGAGTGGCGGGGCGACGCGAGGGGGAGAGAGAGAGGAGAGAGGAGAGCGGAAGGAGTCGGGAACAGTGGGAGGAAGGAGAGGCAAAGGTGAAACTTAACCGCGCAGTTAGAGGCAAGGTGAACGTTGTCTGGCAGGCCGCTGTAATCGGCGGTACGGAGCTTGCTAAACGTTGTCATTTCCAAGAAGGGAAAAATAGGGAAAAAAGCCTCTAGGAGAGGAAAAGCCTTTAAGAGAGGAAAACACTCTAGGAGAGAAAAAGCCGCATGGACCTTTGAGCCGTGAGAGGTTCTCTCAGGTTCGTGGAGTGAGGTTCCTCGGATTCCCGAGAGTAAATAATTTGCCAGATTCTCCAAATCCCTCCTGTCGCAGGATTCGCGAAAGGCTACACGTTAGTAGGTTTGTGAGAGCCACTCACCAGTCAAATTTCCGAGTGCCGCAACGTCTTTTCCCTCGGGAATCACGCACGGCACGGGGGGCGCCGAGGCATCAGCTGCGGTTTTAACGCCCACGTCCGTGCCACTTGTTGCGTCCTTCACGAGGCGCGCCGCCCTCGTGATCGCTGCGCAATAAATGGATGAAAGTTCGATACCGGATAACACATGCATTAAAATTGAGGAGCAAAGGATTGTTGAAATTCAATAGAGACGGAGGAGTTGGTTGAAGCTGACTGTTGCGGGGCTTAACATTAATCCGGGTATAATGCGTACGCCTTACCGAAACTTGCAGTGAAGGCTAGGAGAATAATCGACAAGCCAAAGCAGCGTTGGAGCTCCATCGTGTTCTGAACCTCTAAGCTGGTCAAGCAATCCTAAAACGGCGCTTTTCTTGCTGGTTGAACGGTTGATATTGCTGAATGACGATCTTGGAATGTATTTACTTAGGAGCTGAGTTGTATGGGCAAGACATGGGCACATTTGAGGATGTGAGGAGTACAAAGCTCGTCATTACGGTACAGCTGTTTTGAACTCTGTTGCAGAACGGTTCACATTGGCCAAGGTTCGGCCCTGCCTCTTGGGTGAGAGGAAGAACCCTCGGCCGACGCGTTTTGCGGGCGCAATGTGGGCACATTTGAGGATGTGAGAGTGAGAGTATTACGAAGCATTTCACTACGGTACCGTTTTGTTGAACTACGTTGCAGAACGTTTAATTTTGCTTCGACTACTCGCATTCGAAACAATTTCCCAACATTTGCGCGCTGCGAAGCGTCACATTCTGTTCCGTTGAGATACTGTATACCTGGAGATCGCGCTGTTGGCAGGACTTTCAGAGTGACACATTTGGCGGGGCACCTGGTGGGGAAGTTTGCCCAGTGTTGAGGGGAATGAAACAGTAGCCAGGCGAGGTGGCAAGCCTGGTGTGAGGCTTCAGGTCGGGGGAGGTGGTTCAGCGGTAATAAAAAAATAATCTTTGCCACTTGCCTAATTCCCTCTGGGAAAAGCAGGTAGTTTAGTGGTCACGAAGAATTGGGGACTCTCAGCTCTAGAAGTTCACACACTCGAGAAAATATCAACACCCCGGAAAACGAGAAACTAAGTCGGCCAGCCTTCGCCGCATAGTACGGAAAGCATAAACTCCTGCCACGTCTGCTCAGCTCATGTCGGGTCGTGTGCTTCGCACACGCGCCAATCTGAACCTCTGTTTCCCCTTGTCGTCTGCGCATGTGGCGCAGCAATAAGAAAAGCTGGTCCGACCGACGCACAAGTCACGTCAGGTCAGGAAAAGCGATACAGTACAGTCCGTGCTCATTTCAAGAACACCAGGTAGGCGGGCGGCATTGCGTGGAACGGGTTTTAGTTATTTCGCCACCTTCGCCCTTGTCGCCACGGGCAAAAGTGTGACTGTAATATGAAATTGCAATGTGAATCGAGCCAAAGGTTTTAATTTCGTAACCAAGTAAACTTTTCAGATGATGGGAAACTGTTGTTGTTTATGAACTGCAGATGTTTTTCTTCCGCAACTTGGTGACTGTACCTTGAAATCGGCACAATGGTAAATTTAGTCACTCATGGTCACGTTCGCGAGTGACTAAATTTCTAATTGGGAGCAGCAAATTTTCTGTGACAGGCTGAGCATCGACTGTACAAAAATTGGATACAGTACAGTCCAGATGTTCTTTATTGCCGCAAGGCACGGAAAGCAATCACAAGCCAAGATGCTTCATGTCGTCCTTGTGCTGTCGTGTGCTCACACCCGCGCCATCAAACGGCACCCCTCCCTGCCTGTTGTCGCCAGCGCAGGTGGCGCAGCGGGTCGAACACGTCAGGAGGAGGGATGCAATAACTTTATCCGGTCTATACTCTGATGCAGTACAGACTTCCGTATTTGTTTTGTTGTAAGTGACTTAGATTCATGGATAAGACATAGCAAATAAAGTGCCACTTATGTTACAACATGCCGAACCTCCCTATACATGTTTTTTTGGCATTAATGCCACTATGACCTCCATCATACTAGAGGAGCATGGTTTCTCGCTCATATACGTACAATTTTCCATCATACAGGACTTGTGTGTGTATGATATACATGCAGACTAATCCAACTCGTGGTACACGTACGCATGTGTATGAGCATGTCCATGTCCTTGCGCATGGGCATCTACATGTTTAAGTGCATGTGCACGTGCATCTGCTGTGTCCCTACCCACCCGCCCTCTCTCCCTCCCCCCTCCTCCTCCCCCCTCTCCCCCCCCCCCCCCATCCCACCGAGTATGGACTGAATGGATGCCTTAGTGACTTGATTTGAGCTTGGGCATGGGCTTTAGCATTGTTATCTAGCCGAGCTTAGCCTCATGCTCTTGCCTAATTTATGAGATTTTAAAGCATGAGTTGAGTTGCCTTCGCGCTTTGCCAATGCGTACAACATTTTGTAATGGATTCCAATGGTCTCCAAACTAGAAACAAGGCGCCCTACGTACCCCCCATAACACAAGCACACCGCCCATTCCTTAACACTAAGCTTTCACCCATTCCTTTGAATACTTGGGTCCTTTGCCTCTTTCCAGGATACTATTGGCAAAAGCACCTCCCGCCGCACCAGTCTCAAACGCCGCAATGTATACAATAGCAGAGATGGAATGGGGATTAGCTAGCATTGCACCCATGAGCTGCTTATAAGTTGTTGCGCTATCAAACACCAAAGAGCTGCTGGTTTCGTATGTGTAGCCGAGTGGAGGGGGAAGCGGGGGAGGCGAGGCATCAGCTTTCCCTTCTTGACCTTGGGTTTTAGTTTCACGCCCAGCTTGGCGCGCTCAGCATCTGAGAGCGTGCGATTGAGCCACGTGGCGCTGGTGGCCAGGGTGAGTGCCACGTCAGAGCCCATGGTGACGGCGACGCTGGTGGGCTCGCCAGGGTTGGTTAGAGTCACGCTGATGCGGTAGAAGATGTTGTAGCCGTCCGCATTGGTGCTGCTAAGGGGTGGGCTGTACAGAGGGGCGAGGAGGGCTGGGCAGGGGCATGGAGGGGTAAAGAGGGGTTAGGAGAGACGCTGTAACAAGCGGTAGAAGATGTTATAGTCGTTCGCATTGGTGCTCTTGACGGGTGGGCTGTAAAGAGGGGCGAGAAGGGGTGAGGAGGGGCAAGAAGGGGAGAGGAAGGGCGCGGTAAGAAATGTTGCAGTTGTCAGCGTTGGCGATGCTGATAAAAAGGGGCAAGGAGGGGCAACAAGAGACAAGAAGGTGCAAAGAGGGGCAAGGAGGGGCAATGCGGGGAAAGGAAGGGCGAGGTGGGGTGAGAAATGGTGTGGGATGGGCGTGAGGACGGGCAGGTGCGTATGGAGAGCCAGCAGGTGGCAATATGAGATTGGAGGAAGGGAAAGGGGTTGAGAGGGTGAGGAGAGAAGGTTAAAGGACGAGTGTGTGGGGAATAGGGGAGGGGAGGACTAGAGAGTTAGGGGAGAGGTAAGGAAGGTTGAGAGAGTGAGTTGAGAAGAGAGAAGGTGAGAATGAGCAGGGAAGGGAGCAGAGGGGGAGAGAGTGAGGGGGGAGCAGACGATGGGAGAGTGAGGGGGGAGCAGAGGGTGAGAGAGTGAGGGGGGAGCAGAGGGTGAGAGAGTGAGGGGGGAGCAAAGGGTAAGAGAGTGAGGGGGGAGTAGAGGGTGAGAGAGTGAGGGGGGAGCAGAGGGTGAGAGAGTGAGGGGGGAGCAGAGGGTGAGAGAGTGAGGGGGGAGCAGAGGGTGAGAGAGTGAGGGGATGAAGGGACGATGGAGAGGAGCGTGAGTGAGAGAAGGGAGAAAGGAGGGGAGCATGAGAGAGTGAGGGGAGAAGGGAGAGGAGAAGACCGAAGATGATGGACAAGAAAGTGATGGAGAAGCTTATAGGAAGGCAGTAAGTGAGACGCTGCCAGTGTCGTTGACATCCCCAAGGGAGAGTGGAGAAAGGAGAGGGGAGAAGGGAGAGGGGAGAAGGGAGAGGGGAGAAGGGAGAGGGGAGAAGGGAGAGGGGAGAAGGGAGAGGGGAGAAGGGAGAGGGGAGAAGGAGAGGGGAGAAGGGAGAGGGGAGAAGGGAGAGGGGAGAAGGGAGGGGGGGGAAGGGAGAGGGGAGAAGGGAGAGGAGAGAAGGGAGAGGGGAGATGGGAGAGGAGAAGATAGGGGAGAAGGAGAGAAGATGAGAGGGGAGAGAGGAGAAGAGAGAGGATACGAGAATGGAGGAGAGAATGGAAAAAGGGAGAGGAGAGGCGTCTAAGGGAGAGGCTTACCTGAAGACGGCGAGGGAGACATCGCCTGAGGCGTTGACGTCTCCAGTAAGATTCCTGCATCCCACACTGGTGCCGCTCAAACGTGCGCTCACCACGCCTGAAGGAGCGTGGGAGTGAGTTCGATTGCAACGATAAGGAAGTAAAGCCGTGTGTGAGGGTGGGAGAGGGAGAAATACGGAAACGTATGCGAAAGGACGAGAATGCACAACATGATGGGACAGTGGTTGGTTGTGGCCTAGTAAGTGTTACCAATGGTGGGGGGCGCGGGAGACGGAGAAAGGCAGGGAGAATGGGAGGGAGAGTGAAGCAGTATATCAAAGGTGGGAGGGGAGAGAGGCCATATAAGCAGGGAGAGGGAGGCATTTTCTTACCAATAAGAGTGCCAAGGCTAGGGGGGTATTGCGAATCCTTATTGACTCCGTTCTTGCCCCCTCCATTCTTCCTGCCATCCTTGACCCCTCCAATCTTCCCTCCTGCCATCCTTACGCGGCGGCGGAAGCTACTCCATCGCGGAAAAGGGAACTGCAAAAAGCAACTCGAAAGTTACTGCCTCGTTACTTTAGGGTTGCATTTCTCCCGCAAGAAAAAAGTCAAGGTTCAAAATCGTGAGTGCTGTAGTGACTTGCGATGCAACTTTTCTGTCACTAAATCGACAGAAACTGTCAGATATATATGACATAGCTGTTGTAGGCTATAGTGGGGTAGCACATATGGGGTACAGCTCTCTAGGGTTTGTATTTGTACCCAACTTTCACTTAGTCATTTCATTCCTGTTCTAGTATTCTCACATGGTATCAGAGCGGGTTCCCAGTGGGAACTTCGCCTAGGGCCCACCGAAGCGCGCCCCGAGGCGCGCTAACCTTTTTTTTCTCTCTCTCGAGCGACCCTCCGTGTCGCCCTTCCCTCGCGGCCCCGCTGCCCTTTCAGACGCGGCCTCGCCGCCCCTTTCGAACGCGGCCCCGCCGCCATTTCAGACGCGGCCCCGCCGCCTACTTCGGACGCGGCCCCGCCCGCCCCTTCAGACGCGGCCCCGCTGCCCGCTCCGACGCGGCACCGCTGCCTGCTCAGACGCGGCCCCGCAGCCTGCTCAGACGCGGCCCCGCCGCCTGCTCAGCCGCGGCCCCCCTGCTGGCTCCGACGCGGCCCCGCCGCCCACTCGGACGCGGCCCCGCCGCCTGCTCAGCCACGGCCCCGCCGCCCGCTACGAAGCGGCCCCGCCGCCTGCTCTGACGCGGCCCCGCCGCCTCCTCAGCCGCGGCCCCGTCGCCCACTCAGGCGCAGCCCCGCCGCCTGCTCAGCCGCGGCCCCGCCGCCCGCTCCGACGCGGCCCCGCCGCCTGCTGAGCCGCGGCCCCGCCGCCCTCCCCTCCGACGCGGCCCCGCCGCCTACTCAGACGCGGCCCCGCCGCCCGTTCCGACGCGGCCCCGCCGCCGTCACTCGCGGCCACCCCGCCCTTGCGCGGCCCCGCCGCCTCCTACCTGCGGCTCTACGGCCGCCTCTACTGCGGCCCTTCGCCGTCCCTGCAACCCGGCCCCGCCGCCCCCCTTCCTCTCACGCTGCCCAACTGCGGCAGCCGAGCCGCCCGCCTGCAGCATCCGAGCCGCCCACCTGCAGCAGCCGAGCCACTCACCTGCAGCAGCCGAGCCGCCGGACCACCGAGCAGCAGTGCACCCGAGCCGCCCTGCACCCGAGCCGCTCTGTCGCCGAGCCGCCCGGGAGCCGAGCCGCCTAGTAGCCGAGTGGCTGAGTCGCCGAGCTGCCCTTCTGCACAGCTGCCCGACCTGCCCTGCCCGGTGAGCACAGTACCGCTGTCACTGCGTGCTCTTCCCCTACTGCTTGCACTGCTTCGCTGTCGTCGTCATGGCTACCCCTAGTGTTCTAGCTTTTGACGCTGAGGGTCGCGCCATTGACTTTGAGGTCTAGGTAGACTACCTGCAGTTGTTTTTACAGTGCGATAGGGCAGACGACCTCTCTCTCTTTGACCTCACTTCTGGCGCCTCTCCTGCCCCTGCTGCTGATGCTGATCCCACTGTGCGCTCTCAGTGGGCCACCCGCGATGCTGCTGCACGTCTTGCTGTGCGTCGCCACCTCCCTACCTCTGAGCGCGCGCACTTTAGTCAGTACAAGAGTGCTCAGACCTTGTACGACGCTGTAGTTGCGCGCTACTCCTCCCCTGCCACTGCTGCACTGAGCCGTCTCATGCTTCCCTACCTCTTTCCTGACCTCTCTGCCTTTCCCACTGTTGCTGACCTCATTACGCACCTCCGCACTAGTGACACTCGCTACCGCGCCGCCCTTCCTGCTGAGTTCTGCGCTAAGAACCCCCCCCCCCCATGTACATCACTCTCTACTACGTAGTCGCGCGCCTCCCTGACTCCCTTCGCGTAGTCAGGGACCACTTTCTCGCAGTCTGTCCCACCACCCTCACCGTCGACGTCCTTGAGAAGGCCCTCCTCGCGGCGGAGAAGAGCATCGTCGCTGTAGGAGCTTCTCGTGGTGACCCTCGCACCCCCATCTTTGAGGGGTGCTCTCCTTCCCCCCTCCTGCCCTCTGTTGCCTCTGCTGCTGCTGCCGACCTGCTTGGTCTTGAGTCGGTTGGCGCGGCGTCTGCCCCTAGTGGGAGACGCCGCTCTGGCAAGGGCAAGGGGGGCAAGGGCGCTGGTGGAGTTGGAGGGAACGGTGGAGGTGGCGGTGGAGGCGGCGGAGGGAGTGGGGGTGGCGGCGGGAGTGTTGGCGGGGGTGGTGGTGGTAGTGGTGTCAGCGGCGGAGGAGGCGGCGGTGGTGGCGGCGGCGGTGGTGGTGGCGGCAGTAGTGGCGGTGACGGTGGGGGAGGCGGTGGCGGAGGAGGCGGTGGTGGCGTAGGAGGTGGAGCTGGTCGAGGCGGTACCCAGCAGCGGAGCGGCGGTGGTGGTGGTCAGCGCTCGCAGCAGCAGCAGCAGCAGCAGCATTCGCGTGACGTCCCTCCGCCCCAGCAGCTCCGTGAGTGGTACACTCGGCGTTAGAGGGGTGGGGGTACTGGTCCTTGTACCTACGTCCTTCGCTCTGGCGACCGCGCGGGTGAGCAGTGTGGGGGTGCCGACTCCACCCGGCGCTGCTTTGGCCGCCTGACGGACGCTTGGCGTCAGCAGTTCCCCGGGGCTAGTGAGATCCCTCGCTGGGATGAGCTTCTTAGAGCTGGTGTAGCGATCTTTGATCTTGATTTTGATGCTATCCTTGCTGCTATGTATACTGTGACTATTAGTGAGGAGGGTGACTGTTACCGATGTTTCCCGCCTGACCGAGGCATTGGTACTGCTGCGCTAGGTGCTTGTGAGGCTGCTCCTCTAGGTGCCAGTACGTCTGTGCTCTCAGGTGCTGGTGAGACTGCGCTCTCAGGTACTGCGTCGCCTCCGTCCTCCCTCACTTTCACACTTGACTCCGGGGCTTCTCGCTCCTTCTTTCAAGACCGCACTACCCTGACGCCGCTTGACCGGCCCGTTGCGGTCTCCCTGGCTGACCCCTCTGGGGGTCCTGTCCTCTCTCACTTCTCCACTGCCTGCTCCCTCTCCTTACACTGGTCCTACTGGAGGTCTTGCTGAGCGTCGTGAGCCTGCGTCTTGTCCCGCGTTGCCTGTTCGTCCTGCTCGCGCTAGTGGTCGCGGTTCACGTCAGCGTCCACCTCCTGTCCCTGGCACGCACCGGATGTCTCTGCGTCCGTCCTCTGCTCCTCTGCGTGCCCCTTTGCCTTCTCCTCCTGAGTCCTCTCTTCCTGCCCTTGCCGACCCTGAGTCAGACTCCCTTCGTGCTACCAGTCCTACTGTCACGCGTCTGCTTGCTACTGTCGTCAGTGACCCCTCTTTTGAGTCCACTGCTGCGTCTGCTCTTGTCGCTGAGCTCGCCGACTTTGCTGCTCGCTGTCGTCTAGACTACGTTGCTAGTCTTGTTGCTGAGTCTGCGTCTGTCTGTCCTCCGTCCGTCGGGGGTGAGTGTGCTCTTGGCACGGACGTCCTAGAGGACAGGCAGGAGGAGTTACAGTGTCTGGCGGCTGCTTCACCTCATCTCGCGTCTGTACTGCTTGCTCCTGAGGGAGACCCGGATGCACTAGACATCCCGACTCCGCGCTCTTACGCGGAGGCCGTAGAGGGTCCCTACTCCTCTCAGTGGCAGGCAGCTATGGATGCAGAGATGGCTTCCTGGAAGTCCACAGGCACCTACGTTGACGCAGTTCCCCCTCCTGGGGCGAACATCGTCAGTGGCATGTGGATCTTCAGGGTGAAGCGGCCGCCGGGCTCTCCACCTGTCTTCAAGGCGCGGTACGTTGCTCGTGGCTTCAGTCAGCGGCAGGGAGTTGACTACTTTCAGACCTTCTCTCCCACCCCGAAGATGACCACTCTTCGGGTGCTGCTTCACATAGCCGCTCAGCGCGACTACGAGCTTCACTCTCTCGACTTCAGCACTGCGTTTCTTCAGGGTAGCCTGCACGAGGAGATCTGGCTGCGCCGTCCACCTGGCTTCACTGGGACTTTTCCTCCTGGCACCCAGTGGAGCCTCCGACGGCCAGTCTACGGTCTCCGCCAGGCACCGCGTGAGTGGCACGACACACTGAGGACTACGCTCGCGGCTCTTGGGTTTGCTCCTTCTACTGCTGACCCGTCGCTGTTTCTGCGCACCGACACTTCACTGCCGCCGTTCTACATCCTCGTGTACGTCGACGACTTGGTCTTTGCCACAGCGGACACTACTGGACTCGCCTACGTGAAGTCCGAGCTGCTGAAGAGACACACGTGCACAGACCTGGGTGAACTGCGCAGCTACCTTGGCTTGCAGATCACTCGGGACAGAGCACGCCGCACCATTACCTTGACTCAGTCACACATGGTGCAGCAGGTCCTTCAGCGCTTCGGCTTCACGTACTCCTCGCCTCAGGCCACTCCTCTGTCTACTCGTCACTCGCTCTCAGCTCTGCCTTCGGATGAGTCCGTAGAGTCGAGTGGCCCGTACCCAGAGCTTGTTGGCTGCCTCATGTACCTGATGACCTGCACACGACCTGACCTTGCATACCCTCTGAGCATTCTTGCACGCTATGTTGCTCCTGGGAGACACCGACCAGAGCACATGGCTGCAGCGAAGAGGGTATTGCGCTACCTGTGCAGTACGTCGGGCATGGGGCTAGTGCTTGGAGGGCGGAGTCCAGTGGTCCTTACCGGCCACGCGGACGCTTCTTGGGCTGACGACCAGGCTACGCAGCGGTCGTCACAGGGTTACACCTTCAGTCTTGGTTCCGGCTCTGTCTCGTGGCGGGCTACTCGTTCGTCTTCGGTTCTCAGCTCCAGTTGTGAGGCTGAGATCTACGCCGGGGCCATGGCTGCACAGGAGCTTCGCTG